AAAGTAGTGTGTATTATAGGAAAAAATAAAATTTATGGCTTTGGAAGGAAATGTGTGCTGTCGAATATTAGATATATTTCAACAACATGGAACTGTGTCTGTTTTGGCATAAGAGGTTCCTGTAGACTAGGCCTGTGCAAGCTACTTAGGAAATATTTGTTAGAGAAAAACAAGTTCCCCATTCCCACAGACTATTTACTAGATGTTGAATAAGGCTAGTTTTTTTGTGGGGAATGTCCTACATATTGATGATAAAGCTTCAGAATGACCAATATATGTCCTCTTTAGCCATTTCTTCTAGTAAGGCTCAGCAATCCTGAGTATTTGTTTACCCACTGTTGTGTATGACTGTCTTTGTCTTCCTGCTTTGGGGAAACCCAGACAACTAAGATAATTGATGTGGTGCTTCCCTTCGAATCAAGAGAATGAACATCTGTACTTCCTGAATCCAAAATTTCTGGCTTCGAGGATTTCCTCTAAGCACTGACCCAATGCTAGACAGCAATACATTGGATATGCCACTGTGTGGTTATTACTTTAGACAACACAGAAAGAAAAAGTCAGTACAACAGAGAAACTCTTTCACACATCCATGCTTACATTGACCCTCTTGGCTATGACCCATCCTCCATTCATTGCTGACGTCATTCATCATGGCTCAGACCGCTCCCAGAATTTGTCCTCAGACTGAAGGCACAAAAATTTGTGACTTGTACAGTTTCTGTCACTACCAAAGACAGGTACATAAAAGACATCTTCGCCTGTCTTTCAACCCAGTGTTTATTGTTCCTCTTCTGAGCATCATGAAAATACTCCTTTCCCAGTTCTAACTATTTTTTGGGTTTCCTCTTTTTTTTTTTCTAAGTATTGACTTAAAGTATTTTTAGAATGTATTTGTATAACTCTTTTCCTTTTATAAGCTGGTTTTCATAAGTTATAAATCTCCCACATAATATTCTATACCTCTAATTAGTGCTTCCAAAAATCATTATTATTACACAGTCATGTGTTAATTGTATATTTTAAGAGGCAATATCCATTTATTTTACAGACTTCCACTGCCTATCATACTGGCCAACTATGTCTCACCAAGGGAGCAAATAATTTTGCTTTTAGGTGGCAGATTTGCTGAGCCCTTTGTGAAAATAGACTATGGTGTAGTATGTATCCTTAGAAAATGTGCAATCTAAGAGTAATAGCTATCATTTCCTTTCAAGTTAGATTTCACTTCACTTCATATTCATATCTGTAAGACCAAATGCTGTGTAGAACAAAAAGAACGTGATTAAGAATAGTTAGACAAAATCACAGTCACTGCATAAGCCAATATTAAAACTTCATAATTTTCAATCTATAGGTACTATTGCCAGATTAAATAATTCCAATTTAACTATTTCATCTAAGATAATGTACTTAACCTTGAGCAAACATGGTTAGACAATAACATATGCTATGTTATTACTGATACTAATTTTTGTATCTAAAAATGTTCGGCCTGTCAGTAGACTGGGGAAGGGGCATGGGAGGAGAAGAGGAAGGAGGACAGGATTGGAAGGGGAGGAGGGAGGAGGCCACAGCTGGATACAAAGTGAATAAATTATAATAAATTTTTAAAAAAATTAAAAAGACAAAAAAATCTGAAAAAAAATAGTTCAGCTAAAATCGAATTAAACCCTGAATGAATCAATGAGCAGACAAACACAACTTTCTTCATGATATCACTCAAGTCTGCCAGCCCAGAATGGCCATCACACTGCTGCTACACGGGTACACAGCACACGTGCTGAGAATAGTCTAAGCCCTTTAGAGCCACAGGCAGGAGCAGGATCAGAGTGCCGCTCTTGAAGCATCGCAGTGCCAGTGCTTCCCTGACTCCGAGCACAGCCACAGCAAAAATAATTTGCAGGTTTTCCCATGAAATGAAAGACCAGGTCCGAGTTATTTTCTGTCATTGGAGAACAGCAACCAATATTGTGTTTTTGAGGGAAATATCGCTGAAACTATATGAAGAATGATATTTACTGTACCTGGTTTGTCCTCTGTCCTCTGGCTTTCTTTTTCATTGACTGAATCATTTTGTCAGGGCATCTGAGCATTGCTAGTATGGTGCTAGTATGGTCCAGTCATTTACTATCTTTTGACTAAATAGTGACATCTTTTAAGTGTGTTCTTTTCATGTGTTAGGGGCATTGACATTCCTAATGACCACATATCAGTTGAATTAAGATATTAGTGTAAGGGTTAAATATCTCGGTGCTGAAAACACTGTTTCTTTTTTTAAAGACAGAAATGGAAGGATCAAAGGACAAACACTGTAATGTGATTGAAGATATTCCTAGATAATAAAATTATGGTTTTGGCATTTTTTAAAAATTAAAATCCTTTATTTTCATTATCCTCCTTTTGCATAGTATTTTACTACTTTTTTGGTATAAGAAACAAGAAAAAACATGCAAATATACAAACATACAAAATTCCAGCAGTAATTAGTGTCATAAGATATAATAAGTATTGACATATCCTTCCAGAACTTTCTTGTAATCACCATCAAAAATAACCAAGCTTTTTTTTTTTTTTTTTTTTACATCTTTCCTGTAGCCCCATCCTTCCTCCTTTCCCAGTACTACTCTCCTTTTTCCTCCCTCTGAGGAAGAGGGGAGCTCCCTTTCCCATCCATCCCAGCTCATCAACTTGCATCAAAACTGAACATGTCCTTTCCCCCTGTGGCCTGGCAACATAGTCCTGCCATGGGGAAGTGATCAAAAGCTGGCAAGTGAGTCTGTGTCCAATGCAGTGCCCACTTCCCTTAGCAGAGGACTCATGTGAAGCCTCAGCTGCCCATCTGCTACATCTTTGTAGGAGGCCTAGGTCCAATTCCTGCATGGTCCTTGGTTGATGCTTCAGTCTCAGCAAGCCCCTCCAAGCCCTGGCTAGTTGGCCTCATTGGTCTTCTTGTGGAGTTCCTGTCACCTCCAGGTCCTTTTCTCTTCCCTCCCACTTTTCCACAAGACTCCCTATGCATTGTGCAATGTTTGGCTGTGAGTCTTGGCATCTCTTTTGAGACTTTGCTGAGTAGAGCCTCTCAGAGGACAACCCTGACAGGCTCCTGTCTCCAAGTTTAGCAGAGTGTTGTTCACAGTATCGGGTTGGCACTCCCGGGAGAGTGAGCCATTGGTTGGCATTCCATAAATCCCTTCACATCTTTTAGGCAGGGTAAATTTGGGGTGGAAGTTTTTGTGGATGGATTGATGCTCCCATCCCTCTCCTAGGAGACTAGACTAGGTAGAGGGTGTCCTCTTCAGTCTCTATGGCCTCTGCTACTAGGGGTCTCTTTTTGAGTCCAATAACAAAGCTCAGCTGGCTCCTTTATTAGCAAAAACTCATTGATCCCTCCTTTTTTTCCTTTCTTTTTATTCTTTTGTATATCACATCCCAACTGCAGTTTCTCCTCCCTTCAACCCTCCCTTCTCCATGTCAACCCAACGCCCTTTTATCTCTCCTCATCAAAGAGCCGGCCTTCAAGGGGCTTCAACCAAACAGGGAACAACAAGCCACAATAAGACCAGGCACCTATTTTCACATCAAAGCTGGATGAGGCAACCCAGTAGGAGGAAAAGAGTCCCAAAGGCAGGCAAAAGAGTCAGAGACAGCCCCAGCAACTAATGTTAGGAATCACACAAGAACATGGAGCTTCACAACTGTAACATATATGCAGAGGAGCTATAGTCAGACATGTGTTTTGTTATTGTTCTTGTTTGTTTGTTTGTTTGATTGATTGATTTTAATATGTGAAATGATGAAAAGTACATTCTGGGCAAAAGAAAAACTATGCTCACTACATGAGTAGTCTGTGCTTGCTTAAGGGAGATTTTTAGAGGCTTTTGGAGATAGGGCTGGGCTGCTGCTAGGAGTTGTGCTTGTGATGGTATGGTGGTGCGGGTGTTGGTGCTGGTGGTGATTCTGGTACTGCTGGTGGTGATGCCGATGTTGTAATGGTGTAATGCTTGTGGTGGTGCAATGGTGGCAGTGCTGGTGGCTACACTGATGCTCGTGATGATGGCAATGGTGCTGAGCCTTGTGGTAATGATGATGGTGGTGCTGGTGCTGGTGGTAAGGATGGTGTGGTGGTGTGGTGCTGGCAGGGTTGTGATGTGGCAATGTTTGTGATGTTTGGTCTCCAAGAAGTGTGGTCTTTATCCCCTATGGCACATTTTATCTATTTTAGTAGCAAGGAACATACATAAAGTTTAGAACTAGGACCTAAAAGCACACCACTCTGCCTTTGATTGCTCTTTGTGGGCATGATTTTTGCCCTGTGTTTAGGGGAACCCTGAACATTGTGCTTGCTAGTCAAGTGCCCTAACACTGAGCTAAATCCTACCCCAAGTTCTTTTATCTCTAATTAGACAAACTAGCTTTATAGGTGAATTCTTATTTTGTTGCATACCGAAACTTCTGGTCTTTGTATTTGCAACTGTTGATAATAATCAGGGAGATGGATGTGTTGAGATGCATAAGAGGCTTTAGGAAATGTGAAGAGCAGTCTGATGGGATTTGTAGGTATATTAACTAAAAACCCTTCATTGATATTTCTTTGCAAACTCTTTGATCTTGGTTCATAATGAAATTCCAGTGTATTTATATTTTTTACCTTGAGCTGATGGCCACCACAAGCTACTTTCACAATGTGTCCTACAACTATAGGCACAAGAATCTTTGCCTCTATTGTCCAAAGAAATGCCTCATAATTCTTTCATTCTTACATCAATTTCTGGATTTCCACAAATGAATTTCTTTCTGATCTCCCTCCCCTTTTTCTTTTAATATTTGGAAAAAAATGTATGCACATAACTTCATGAGAGTATCAAGAAGAAACATTCGACAACTATCTTGAGACATTAACAGAACTAGATAAAAACCGAACGCCTTAAAAGTTTGGATAGTACAATGAAGCAAGGAATAATTTGGTTTGTTTGTTTTTTCCCGTCTAATATTTTTAGGTACAAGCCTATGCAGAAAGTGGATGGGGTTGCAGATGGTTTCACAGGAAGTGGCCAACAGACAGGCACATCTGTTGAGCAAACTGTAATTGCCCAAAGTCAACATCATCAACAGTTTTTAGGTATGTTAAGGTGTAATGCATATTAGTTGCTATTAGGATTTTGAAGAGAACAATAGTGGTCTCTTCTCCAAGTAGAATGTCTTCAGGTGTTATCTCCATATAAAGGGGGAGGTGATTTGGTGCTGAAACGATGACATTTAAATGATAGTTCTAGTTCATCTCCATTGAAATATTAAGCTATGTGGAATCTTGAATGCATCTGTCTTAAAAATCTCAGTGCTTTGAAAGTGTTTCCAAGCATTTATATTAGTGTTGGCTTTTGTGATCAAAATCATTGTTGTGTTTATTTCAGAAATAATGTCCAGCCCAAAAGAATTCTCATTTCCCATGTACAAAGTTGCATATCCATATTGTTAGATTAGAAAAATTATAAACATTTTAAATAACTTATTCTTTTAAATTGAATACGGTGCTTCCGATTTTATAATTTTATAGAGAGTATTCCCGTTTGTTGTTCCTGAAAGTGTCTGGAAGTAGAGCTTAAACATTTGAATACTTACACTGGAGCCAAAGGAGAAAAAGTGACAGTTCAGTGGACAGCACTTTCATAGATGAGGGTGTGCAGTCTCCAAACAGTGGGTCAGGATAAAGAGATGCTGTCAGAGTGTATGTGTATGCACACATGTGAGTACGTGTTTGTATATCTGTACGCATGTGTGTGTGTCTCGCTGTGTGTGCGTGCATGTGCATATGTGTCTGTGTGTGTGTACGGTGTGTGCATGCGTGTCTGTGTGCATGTGCGCTTGCCAATGAAAACATCTGGAATAGACCAGGTCAGAAAGCTCCTGAACTTGAAACTGTTACAGCAGCCTTTCCTAAATCAAAGTGCTCAGATACAGTCTTAATTGACCACTGAGCTTTAAAACAATATCACTTTTTATTAGGTAGCTGTAGTTTAGTTTTAATTTTCCAAAAAATATTAAAAACAGTTTAGATTTTCTACGATCTATAAGTGATTACTATTTTTTATTTAATGTTGAATTTGTGGTAAGGAACGCACAAAAGTGCATTACGAATTGTGCAGGGCTATGAGAAAAAGTGAGAGAGTGTGTGCTATGTAAACTATAGTGTCATCAATAGAGGGCTAAATGATGTTCTTGTGCAATAGGAACTGTCATAGTGATTTGAAAACAGAAGGGTAACGGGGCAGGTAGCCACCAAAAAGAGCAGGTTGGCGGAAGGGTCTTCTCAGAAGACTTGTGCGATGGCAGGTGACACTGTGCTCATGTTGGGAGAGGTGATGTGACAGCAGGATAGCATCATTTACCAAGTTAATGTTGTTAAGGTTATTTTTGTACTTTTTGGCTATTAGTTTTATAACTTTATTATGTAAAAGCTATGAACATAATGAGTTTAAGGGTATGTTTATTTTTATATGGTTGAATAGTGTAATAATAAAAATAACTACAATTGCTACTGGCAAGCTCAGGTTGTTTATTTTTCACTAAGAACCTATCCAATGCCCATTTTAATTAGAATAAAGCTTAGTTCATACAAAATTCACAAGTATACTCCATTCATTCTTATGTTATATGCTAAAAATCTTACTAAGTCTGGCTAGAAAATATTAATTTGAAAGTCAATGATCTTTGGCCCTCTGATCTCTAAATTTTCTTTCCTTTTTAGTCTTCTGAAAATTTCCCTCATTAATCTGTAATTGACAGCATCCACAATAGCTTTTTTCTGTTGTGTTGTCATGGTAACAGATGCATCTCGAGCACTTCCAGAGTTTGGAGAAGTTGAAATCTCTTCTCTGCCAGATGGTACTACCTTTGAGGATATCAAATCACTGCAGAGTCTTTATCGAGAGCACTGTGAGGTAAGACACTTAAGCATAGTTTGAGCACACACTAAGTTTTGCCACATAACTTGTTAAAACAAAATAATCAAATTTTTCCCCTAGAGAACAGAGAAGTTAGTACTAGTTATTTTGAGCATTTCTTTGAATACTTAATAAAAATCCTTCTTTCTTGTCTGAGAGTGCAAAGTGAAGGATGAGTGAGAGTAAGAATACAATTTATTCTCCACTTCTTAAACTGAGCTTTATGTGTTTTGATAGAGCAATTCTACTTCTGGGTCTCTTCCCTACACATCAAATATGCAAGGGAATTTATTACATTTTTTTTGATCCAAGAGGTTGCTAATAGCTTCAATATCTAATTATAAGAGCAATTAAGTCTGCTATAATCTATAGTTTGGACTACTATATGCTCTTAGGACTGAAAACCCTAAATGAACTCAAATGAAATGAGCTCCAAGATGTTTAATGTTAAAGCCAAAAAGAAAACTAGAAAACTCATGTAACATGTTGTTTGAGTGAAAAAGACCTTAACGTCTTTCTACAAGGAAAAGTAAGAAAATGTTAATGATGTCTATGATGGTTTGAATCACCCCTTACTTTTAGGTGTTTAAACACTTGGCCCCAGTGGTGCTGCTTAGGGAGGCCTAGGGGTGTGTGGCCTTATTACAGTGTTACTGGAGGTGTGGGCTTGGAGAGTTTAAACACTTGGCCATTTCAAGGTTACTTCTTCTGCTTTGTGCCTGTGGTGAACCCTCTACTTTCTACTCCTGCTTCCACATCTTTGGACTGCTTTCATGGACTCTAATCATCTGGACCACAGTCCCAAATAACCTCTTCCATCTATAAATTGCCTTGGTTATGGTGTTCAATCACAATAGAAAGATAACTAATACAGAAATCAGTCTTAGAGAGTATGTTAGCTGTGAAGAACCTAACTATCTTAGTTTCTGGAGGAATGTAGAAGACTTTGGAATTTTGGACTAGAAAAGGGGTTGAAAGTTTTAAATGGGGCTTAATAGGGTCAGTCTAGTAAGAGCTTCAAAGACAATAGTGCTGAGAGCTATGTGGACTGTCAAAGCACAGCTGAAGAGGCTTCAGAGTAGAACAATATTTGACTGGATTATAGACTGTTCCTTTGGTTTGGTGGCAAAGAATTGGATGGTTTTTGCCCATGCTCCCAAGAACTTGCCTAAGGCTAAATTTGAAAGTATTGAACTCATATTATTAGCAGAAGAGATTTCTAGATAGCATACTATCAACTCGGTCTCATTTATTATTACTCATTCACAAGCAGGCCTACAATGAAAAAGAACAAAGGTGCTGCAGAAAAACATACAAAATGTACAGAGATCAAAAGGACACTGAAAGGCTTAATGTTATTGCCAAGGCTTGTATGTAAGAGAGACTGCAGTTGTTAAGGAGATTAGGGCCATTAAGGATAGGTCAGATCTGCAATCCAAGAAAGGGAAGGTCCTCTTAGGGCAAGACCTCTTATATTTCTTAGGCTCCTGGAAAGCAACAGCAATCAAAAGCTGCTACTAATATGTATCAAGGGTGTCAGGGTACATCCGACTCTGACAGCCCAACTTGTCTGTGTTGTCCTTGTGGGGATGGCTCTGGAGTCAAGAAGGATAACGAAGTTGTGGAATCTCCCTCTGGTTTCACAGAGCTGCTGAGCCCAGGCAACATGTGGCAGGAAATCCCTGCCTGGAGGCTCTAAGAGGGAAGGGGCCCTGAAAGGTCAGAATGTGAAGCTGTGTAGGTAAACCCTGGCTTGTAATGAGACCCTAAAATGTTGGAGATGGCAGAGTGATGAGACACCTGCCAAGGAGAGCTGCACATTGGGGTGTGGAACCAGCCCAAGAGAGGAAGGAGAACTAGAGGGGAGAGCCATCTATGCCCTTTGACATCAGTTGTAGCATTAGAGAATTTGATGTTTGCTGTAATATTTTTCAGTCATGTTTTGATGCAGTATTTTCTTGTTATTACCCTGTTTCTTTCTTTTGGAATGGTGATGTATATTCTGTGCCATTATATATTAGAGATATGTAATTTTGATTTTACGAGTGGTTACAATTAAGAGATTGCCTTGAATCTTAGAAGAGACTCTGGACTGCAACTTTTAAACTGAAAAACTATGAGGACTCTAAAAGTTGCTCTAGATGTGTTTTGCTTTATGATATGGCTATGCTATAATGAGGGTCAGGACGTGGGACGTGGTGGCTTGAGTGAAACGTCCCTCATACTGTTGGGCATTTGGCCTCCAGTTGGTGGTGCTGTTATGGGAGGCTTAGGAGGTGTGGTCTTTTGGAAAATGTTTATCACTGGAGATGGGTCACAGGAGTTTAAAGGCTCCCACCATTTTGAGTCTGCTCTATCTGTTTTGTCCTTATAATTCAAGATGCACCCCCTTCCTTCTTGCTTCTGGCTTTGCTATGCCTTCATGGGCTCTAACTCTTGTGAACCATACGCCCAAATAAACTTTCTTCTGTAAGTTGTGTTGGTCATGGTGTTTTATCACAGCAATGGAAAAGTAACTATATAGAACTTTACAAAAAACAAACAAAAGTGGAGGCCATGCTCAGGAGAGTCAGTTTTCCAGTGGACCCTTTTGAATATCACAAATGTATGATACTATTGAAAAATAATGTGAACATATATTTAATAAGTACTTTAGGTCTTTTTTTTTAGGGACTCTTTACACCGATTTTAGAATTTAAGTAGCTTTGTCTCAGGAGTGTATGGGATCTGCCTGCAGATGAATGATTACGCTGTGATTTCTAGAAAGCTCCATCTGAGTGTTAACAGTAAAGGATGAAATAAGTTTCAGGTTAAGACTGTATAGATTGTTTGAGGGCTTGGTTGCTTAAGGCTTCTCTTGGTGTTTTATTCCCTTACTCCTATTCTCCCTCTCATGTTAGCATTGCTGACATTGTCTAGGAAGGAGGCCTTCTCCATTCCAATACATTTATACATCTCAAATTCACCTGGTAGAAAGGAGCTGATGTATTGCACAGAGTTTTCTTTAGTGGTTTTAGAATTTAGCTAACTTTATTCTAGGAGTGTTTGTGATCTGATTGCAAATTGAAGAGTAGCCTGTAATTTCCGAAGAAGTTCTCCTGACTGTTGACAGCTGGCAGCAAAGGATGAAATAGGAAGTTTCAGTTTAAAAGCATGGATAGATTTTTTTCCTTGCTCCAGAAATAAGAGTACTTGAGTGAACCAGAGTGCTTGTCAGAGATGCTAGGTTACTGACAACCAAGAATGAGTCCTCTCCTTATCAGCATCTATGATGGAGTGTTCTTCAACATACCTTACTCATCTCCCAACACTTCTGGCATCATATCCAGTATTTATCTTCCTTTGATATTTTCCTGAGTATTGGAGTATTTCTAGATCATCATTATGTACATGGAGAAAAATTCCTTTTACACATCGTATTCAATGAAAATTATGTGAAGATTCTTTAAACAATTCCTTGGTTGTCTGTATTCAGATAAAGCTGTCCGTAAGCAGCTTAGCTTATACAAATATAATTCAGATTTTTTTGAGTGACTCATTTATTCAGAGTGTAAATTGGAGTATAATTATTTACATTGCTAAAGAGTGTACAGTGAGATCATTCTAAGCAACAGACGCCTCCAATAAGATTAAAATAGTATTTAGATTATAAAACTTTCATGAAAATTCCAATTGTGATGAATCAATGTGAAGAAATGGGACACTCGTAATATAATTAATCTGTGTAGGAAATGACAGTCCACAAAATAAACCCCATTTGTAAGTAATCAGTGCTCATACCATCTCTCGTGGAGCAGAGTGGTATGTTTAGAAGAGAAAAACTCTGATTTTTACAGATGAAAAAAAAAAGCTGCCTGTATCTCAGATTCAATCCTGTAGTCATTTGCCATAAGTTGGTACAATATAGATTATTTTGATTTTTATTTGCCTCAATAATTGAAAATTGGATGAAAAATGATAGTATTTTAGTCACTTACAAAGCTGCTTTACATGAGGCTGATGTTGCTGTCATTTTCAAAGAGTTAATTTGATATTAATCTGAAAATACGGGATTTATGATGCGCTGAAATTGCGTTATTTTACTCCATATTTTCCACAGTTTATATTTTTAAGGAAGGATTGTTCTGCTGTTTGGAATTCTTGTCTGTATTTATTAAGGTATGTTTACAATCATTAGTTTTAGTCTTGGCGGTATCTAAAGCATTAATTGTCTAATACTTTAGAGACACCTCATGAAATATGCCTAAGCTGCAGTTCAGAGAGCAAATGTAAGAACTTCCTTCTGGGGAGGTTTTGATTTCATATGAAATGAGGGACAACTGTGTTTACCTTGTTTTCAGAGCCTCCTTTTCCTGTTATTTAGTCTTACTGAAAGTTTTTATAATTAGGTTGCTTCATTTTCACTCTCTGACAACTTGCAGCATTCCCTGCTTGTTCTCAGAACATTTCCTCCACTCACATGCTTAATGTCTGAATCAGCCTCAGGGTGTTGTCACAATCTTTAAGCCAGATCCATATAAGGGGCACATCCTAGAACTATGATGATGCAGCTTACTTCTTCCTAAAAATTCAGATGAACTCTAGGATGCCCCCATATTCTCTGCCTTCTGCGGACTTTCTTAGATCCTGGTGGGATCTTGTTAGTTTTCAGTTATTGGTGGTATCATACCCATTCTGCTGACTTGTACTGCCTCTGCACTTCATCCTTTTACATTCAGCATAATGACAGAAAAATTTTCCTTTGGCTTCCTGTTTGCTGCTCTCTGAAAGTTCTATATAAATAGTTTGCACTGGCAGACTGAAATTAAGTATGCTCATCAAAAGTCAGTAGAGTAGGTGACAGTTACTGACATCATCAACAAAGAAAAAAGAAAACACCTGAAAATTGATTCTAGAAACTAAACTTAAAGTAAAACTCAAGGCAAGAACCCCACAGTTAGAAAAAAGTACTGTAAAGCTGATCTATAAAAGGAGTGTACAGAAGTAAGATTGTATGCTGTGGTGGAGAATGCAGGTTATTATATGGCCAAATATGGCTCTTATGGGTATCCCTTTTAATTTCAGGAGGATATTGCTACCTAGAGGATTCTTGACTCCAGTTCATATGTTACTTCTGCCTGGCTAGGACCCTTGATCAGCAGCCTTGAAAAGAGTTAGTGCAAACCTTATCCCCATCTTCCACACCTGGGCAACTAATCACTCTTAATGTCTGCCTTCTCGGATGTCCAGTTGTCATCCACCCGAGAACACAGGTGTTGGATGCCCCACAGTCACCCACCCGAGAACACAGGTGTTGGAGTGCTTTGTCCTTCCTGGTCTGGAGTAAGCTGAGTGGTGTGACAGTTTCATTTGTCGAGTTCTCTATATTTACCCTGGAAGAGAGTCTCAAAGAGGGATTATTTAGATCAGGCTGGCCTGTGGGCATGTCCGTGTGAGAATGTCCTGATTACATTAGATTGGATTGGATTTTAATAACATCTTATTTAACACAGAGTTGAAAACAATGTAACCTAACATGGAGGTGATATAAATATTAATTACTTTCAAATTTAATACATTTTTAATGTTATGCCTTGTCATTTAAAATAGAATATAAAAATAAGAACATTATTAATTTTTATTTTCTCCCAAATCTTTGAAATGTTATATTTCATCAAGGAAATATAATATATAAACTATTTATCAGCTATTGTATCATTTTTTATTATCAACTTTTATTAATTTTTATGTATCTAAAGTATACAGAGTTCAGTTGATCACATAAGTAGTACATGTTTTCTTTTTTCTTTTGCTGCGATAGAATATCATGACCAGGAAAAGTTATAGAAGAAAGAGTTTATTTGGGACCCCAAGGGACAATAGACTGTCATGGCAGGGAGATATGACACCTAGTGGAGGCAGGGCAGCAGGGGCAAGAAGCTGAAACTCAAATCTTGAATCACAAGCACAGAATACAGATAGAGAACTCAAAATGGCACAAGTCTTAAAATTCTCAAGGCCCACCTTGTTGTCCTCCAACAAGGCCACACCTCCTAAGCTTCCCCAAACAGTGCTGTCCATTGAGGACAAGTAGCCAAATGTCCGAGACTATGGGGTCATCATACAAACCACCAAACATTCTGAAATACAGTGTGTTATTTCAACATGGAAACAATATAAACATGAGTAGCTAATGTTTGGACTTTTCTTTTGGAGTCTTTAAAACCCAATCTTTTGTCAGAAACAGTCCCTGTTCCCATTACTATGGAACCCACTTGGACACTGAACTGCCATGGGCTACATCTGTGCAGGGGTTCTAGTTTATGATCACCTCCCCCTGAGGGGGGAGCAGCCTTACCAGGCCACAGAGGAAGACAATGCAGCCACTCCTGATGATGAGACCTAACAGACTAGGATCAGAAGGAAGAAAAAGAAACCCTCCCCTACCAGTGGACTTGGGGAGGGGCATGTGTGGAGAAGAGGAAGGGAGGGAGGATTGGGAAGGGAGGAGGGAGGGAACTAGAGGGGGGATACAAAGTAAATAAAGTGTAATTAAAAATAAAATTAAATTAAAATTAAAAAAACCCAATCTTTTCATTTCAACAAGAACACACTCTACAGCCAAATCATTACTACCTATTTTTGTTCTTTTGTTAGAGTCATTGGAATATGGTGGTGTTAGTATTTCAAAATATAAATGATTACTAAATTATTTGATTTTATATTGTTTTACTATATCTTTGAAGTGCAATATATGGTCATTTCAATATGTAATTGATATGAGAGCTAGTGATTTTAGATACTATACTGTTCTTTGAATCTGACAAAGTCTTGAGTCTGCAGTCTGCCTTTGGTGCCTACTGTCCTTAGTTATTGTTTTTGCAGTGGCCTGATTTCAAGGTTCAGTAGGTACATGTGGTTAGTGGGAGTCCCTAGAAACAAGATATCAGTCATGGAAGGAGTTAAATACATACGGGATGGTTCATACCATGTAGGAATTGTAGCTGCCTTAGCGGGAGCATCTGATGGTAAAAGAACAAACAAGGGGAAGTAAAGCAAGTATTATGGTTTGGTCATTTTGTTTTTAGGCAATATTGGACGTTGTTGTGAATCTTCAGTTTAGCCTGATAGAAAAATTGTGGCAAACATTCTGGCGCTATTCTCCCTCTACTCCAACTGACGGCACTACTATTACTGAATCAAGGTCAGAATCAATATGGTTTTCTGATTTATTTTCATGCTGAAGTAGATGTCACTGCTAATAAATTAGAGATATGTATACCAGTTGTGAACTTCACTTGATAACAATGAGTAGACTGATGCTTTGAACAGCCTAGGGATAAACCACAGACTGCTCTGCTGAGGTTAGTGTGTGTATAGCTCCCACTTTATTAACTTGGGGAACTATTAGATAAATGTCATGCTAGTACATTAGCACCCTGTCTGCCTTTCAGACCATAAGAAAATATTAATGTGTGCAGGTCGCTCTGGGGGTGTGTTTGTATGTATACATACATTTGTATCCAGCCATATGACCCCAGTGCAGTGATGCTATAGTTCTAACCTCAGTAATATTTGATAAACTATTTTTTAAAGTCCATTTTCTGTTTTATCCTCATTTGCCATCTATTCATTTGCGACATTTATTCACACCAGCAATCTGAGTGAAATAGAAAGTCGACTTCCGAAAGCAAAGCTGATAACTCTGTGCAAACATGAGTCTATCCTGAAATGGATGTGTAACTGTGACCATGGGATGTACCAGGCTCTGGTGGAGATTCTCATCCCCGACGTCCTTAGACCCATTCCTAGTAAGTTAAATGGAGACAAGTACGGATGCTTTTGTTCTCATACATACCACCCAAGAAATTTTGGGGATTGATGTTGCCATCAGGAATGATCCTAATTTTATTTAAATTTGTCAAATAAAAAACATGTAGCATAGAGAATATTGCATGAAAGAAGGCTAGAGTGACACTATACTAAAGGGGAAATTACATGTTTTCTAGTCTTTTACATTATTATTATTTAAAAAAAACCTAACCTACAGCTATGATACCCTCACTAAACTAATTGCAAGAACACCATTAGCTTAGTCACCCATGTGAAATTATTCTACTCAGGTTTTAGTCCACAGCACATAGCCAAAAAATATTCAAATCTCATTTGCAGGCTGCTCCCTTTCATGGTTGCTTAGAGTTTGAAATGGATTGACTGTGGTTTCCAGTAGAGTTGAATTCCTTTATAAAAGCTCAGGCTCTGTCACCTGTATTATCTTAAGTTCAGTTTCCATTTACACTGATGGTTAACTAGGATTCTGAGAGAAAAATCTACACAAGCATTGTGCCCAACCTTGAAGCAAATGGGAAATGCATGAATCACTCATAACTTTTTTAAGTAACCACGTTGTAGTGAACAAAACTGGCTTCTGAACTTGTAGATGTAAATGCTACTATACACACTGTTAGAGGCAGTCGGACTACTTAAACCTTCATTTGGATGAGCCTTACTAGTGACCTTGACTTGGAAAAAAATGGGACTGTGATGTTAATAAAGTAAAAGCAACCTTTTAGCTCATGACATTGGCAGCTATGTACTTTAAAAATGCTACTCACCAATTATTTGTTACACTACTATGGAAAGTATATAAATAGAATTTAGTAGAAGAAAACAGGAAGCTGTTAACATTTGTGTGTTTATATTTGTAAAGACAAAGAAACAGTGAAAGGTATAAATTCTTTTATACATTCACTTGCTTAAAATTGATGCTTCTACACATTTACAAGCTATGCCAATCAGTGTGCATTAATACATGGAGAAGAAAGTAAAAAACAAAAGAAATCCCACTGGCATTATCTTAACACTTTATATATTGCTCACGTGTCCCACACTATTCCAGGTTATGTGACTGAAAAGGTTGATAAAAAATGATACTGTCACAGAAATTTTCACTATGTCGATTTCTGCTGGATTTTGTTCCAGAATTTGGTTTTCCCACTACTCTCCTGCTCCTTGTGCTCCAAGTGTTAATCTCTAGAGATGTTTAAAAGAAGTTGCATAGGCTAGCTCATTAGCCTCTGACATCTGGCTATGGACACCCCATTTCTCTCCTGAGATACTAGCAGGGATGTCAGTTCTTTATTTTTTTTTCAAGGCGGGTCAACAGCACCATTACTCATTACACAATTCTGCAACCATGTGCTTTTGTCTTAGCATTATAAGAGTTTAACAGTTCCCTAATTTAGATCATGCACCAATTGTAGTTTACTTTAAGCCTTGGAATTTTAAGTATATAATATACTTGCCCTTTGTCTTTTTAAAAAATGTGATTAGAAAAGTGGTTTATAGTCTGTCAAAGAGTTTGTCTCTACACTCACCAGAAAATGGAATCGTTTCATTTCTCTGAAATTACAAGATGCATTAATATGCTTCTCTACAAAAGAAATGTAGGGAATTTAATTTCCATTTTACAGTAAGGCTCAACAATGTAATGCTTAAAATACAATGTAGATAGCTACTGCCGGGTGAGGTGCATTTTAATACTGATCTTGAGCAGGCTGAGGCAGCTTAGCTTTGGAATAGATTTTTAAATACCAAACCATCCATTTATGAGTCTTTAGAAGCTGTCAGAGTCAGTCTGCACCATTTCGATTTTATATGAATCCCTACAGAGAGAACAAACTTAATTTTATTTTTAAAAATTGTATTTCTTGGCTACTAGTACTTCACTCTACCATTTTCTGTCCAGATGGGATTTCTTTTTTTAGCTAAAAAGTCTGCACATCATACTAATTTAAAGTCAGCCTGAAGCGCCTATATTCTAAAATACATTCACCCGAAACATAGAAGAAGGAAATTAAGTGTGAATTATTGAATAAGAATTCAACTGGTAACACTATAAATTGGCAACTGGGAATATAATAAAAGGTTGGCTAAAATATCATTTAGTACAAAAAAGTAAATACCTAAACTTTTTAATATACAAAATGTATCTTTTTATGTTATAATCTCCTTTCCATCAAAAATATCTAGATAAAATAGGGTATGTGTGGAACACTTTAAAAATAACATTAGAATTAGTGGGGTCCTTTATAATTAAATCATTATTATATTAAGTATAGAACAAATGGAACATGTAAGTTGCCATATTATACCTTGAATAAAACTTAACAGAATTTTAAAACAGGCTGTTAATTTTTTTCACCCTTTTCATTTCCATTCATGCCTGCACTCCATGACTCTAAACAACAGAAAGATAGTGGGTTTTTTTTCTTTTCTTTTCTTTCTGTTTTGGCTAAGGTAGGATGCTTTCAAGATTTCAAAAGATTTCCTCTCAAGAAATTTCCAGTTCAGCCTGGTTAAGAGTCTGTATTCTTTTCTAATCAATATTGAGGCAATTTCAATCTCTACCATCCAGTTACATAAGTTAAAACAACAACATCAACAATAAAAACTGAGTTTTTTATTATTGTTGAATTTTAAATCTTTTTGTAACTTGAATATGCCAAATTCCCTCTAAAAACCTGTTTTGGCAAAAGTAACCAATAAGAGCTCCCATGAGCATAGAAAGGAAAGCGTAAGGACTCCAGTCTTGTTGTACGTTCGGCATGGATAGTTGGCCAAAAGAGAACTTCTTTCTCACAGTATACCACAGACCTGGGTATCTACCAGACAGTGTGGAACTTAGAGTGTAGTTTTGTGTTGTGTGTGCTTTAAGCATTTATTAAACACCTAAATATATACCTAAATATAACCCTCATATAGACACAAAGAAATTAAAGTAACATTGAATAACATTTTGAACAGACTCAGTGAGCAGATCCTTTTTGACATAGTTAGCAATGATAACTCAAGATGCTTCTCGTCATTTCATGACCACTATAAAGTTCTATCATGGGACCTGTCCCTATTACAGGCATTAACAATCTAGGATTGGTTGTTTTGATAATATCTTAGTAACATGGCTCCATGACAGCAGCTTTAACACACTGATCTTTTAGCTCTACCTACCATGTGGAATTGGAATAGTCATTTAAAATTTTGGCTCAGACAGTTCTAAATTTTACTCTACTTTCAACAAAGTTTAAACACTCCAAATCATAGGCTTTATGGTAAAACATCATATATAGACAAAAACAAAGCTCTGCACTGTGTTTCATTTTAACTAACAATATAAAATAAGATTGAGTTTGAGACCAAGATGGAAATTTACAATGAAAATTCTTAGCCCCCTTGATTACAAAACTATTCATGAAGTTTTGTCCAAGGTAGAAAACCCCATAAAGTATATTCACAACTGGTATATGTCGTCATAAGTAGAAAGTTTTGAATATTTTCATTTTCCAACAGGTATCCATCAGTTTCTGAGAACAAAATAGTTTTAAAAGTCAAAAGTATTATTTTTAGATGCACTAAGAAATTAGAAATGATATTACTCTTTAGTCAATGAAAATAATATAAAATCTGCTATGTGCTATGAACATAGTATAAACATACATTTCCCTTGCTCCAGCTTCAAATTAATAGTCTTGGATATCTTTATTGTTCTGCCTTTATTTTTATTATTCAGGTGCCTTGACCCAAGCCATTCGAAATTTTGCAAAAAGCCTTGAAGGTTGGCTTTCAAATGCCATGAACAATATTCCACAGAGAATGATTCAAACCAAGGTATGGTTATGTCCCGTGTGTGTATGGGTATGTGTGTGTGTTTACACTTGCTTAAGAAACTATCTCTTTAGTAATATTCTTATAACTGATCTTTATATACAAGTAACACAGAATAATTTGTAGTACTAGCATATGGATATTGTAGTTCAGAGCTGTTCCTCAGACCTGGAGGAGTCTAGATTCCATATTACCCCTTTCTGGCATAAGCCCATGGCAAGATTAGACAGAGACTAAACTTTCACTTGGCTGCCTAAAAGTCACATTTGTTGCTTTTGTTAATGTATCCACCATTAGACTCCAACAGGGTATCTTTTTTTCTTCAAAATCTGTTGCATTCCTAATAATACCTCAAATAGCTGAAATCACTGACTCAGTACCATCAAAGTGAATGCCCTAGAAGACTGCCTGCACCATTGGCCATCTTGTGAAATTTCAGATTTAATCTAGGTGTTTGCCGTTGTAGAGCATAGCTGCTGCTTTCTCACTGTTGCATATATGCAGCTGTTTTTCTGCTGAGCTCTCAATCAATGAGACGGTTTACCCCGGCTGAGGAGAGAACTTTCTAGTGAGTAGCAATAGCACTAAAATGTCCATGTACAACCCCTTAAAGAAGTTTCTGTACCATCTTGCACAAGCTGCTTAACCTCTTACACCATAACTTGTTGAGGTGGCTGTTGAACAATGTAATATACAGAAGACACTTAACCTGGTGCCGGGTATATTCTGTGTACTCAATGCATATAACCATAAAAATGGGAAACCATTATCTCTTCAAGTTTATATGTGCTTGTGTAAATATTCCATACAGTCATAAAACTTCTCACATTCAAATGAGCCACCTTGACAGTGTCAACACATTATTCTACTCAACTGATTGTTCAAATAAATGCTTCTTATGTACCCATAAAAACTTAGTACAATCTGATATGTCCCTGTAACTATGTTGAGGTTTCTGGCATATTTTGGAAGACTGGGAGTCACATCTACTACATATCTAGCATTTCTGTGAGATCATGAGAACTAGATATTTATTTAGAGTTGTTGTTTTCATTCTCTTTGGTATTTTTCAACATGGGCTAGCTCATTCACTGTCTTATTAGACAACAAATATTCACCAGGTAGGGCCATAGAGCACTTGGCCAGTATGTGTAACGCCCTGGATTCAACCACTATAGTGTTGGGGGACAAGGAAGGAAAGGAACGGTTTATGGCAAGGGTGTACGGAATAACTAAGTTTATTTCTAAAGATGCAAACAGAGTTGAGAAAAACAATGATCAAGCATCCCACAGCTAGCAATAATGAAAAGTTGTCATCAGATCTAGATGTGAAATAGCCAAGGGCTGAAATCCACAGCCTTAGGAAACATCCTTCAAGTTTTTCCAGTTGTAGCCTTGTTAAAGGAAAGAACACAAACTTGTAGGGAGTTACACTCTGACCACTGTGGTTGTGTCCTTTAGTCTCCTAGCAATGCTCACAGTTGATTAACTCTACCTAGGAGCTTGGGAGCAAAGGAAGAGTTACTGTCACCCATGGCAGCATTTCAGGCCATGGGGATGGTGGAGGTGAATGGAAGGGAGATTGTTTTCAAAGGTCAGTGTAAATTTCCCTCATAGCCCATTTCAAGAAATTTAAATTTTTATGTAGAGACAGACAAAGAGACAAAGAGAGATCTTCTACTTGCTGGTCTGATAAATGTATCCAGTCATAAAAACTTTGAACTCACTTGTTTCACCAAGTCTACCAACTTGTAAACTTAAAGTCCTAAGGATGAGTGTGAATGGCACTGCTCTGAGAAGTATTTTTGCCCAGTTAACAATAATAGATCTTTACAGTTTGCTTTTCCAAATAGAAAGAAATGTTCTTACTTGTCTAGTTTCTATTCTAGTTGTCCTAAAAAAAATAAGTGGAGGAGGGAATTAAAGCAAACATTTTCCTACTTTTTAAAACAATGTAATTTCTTGTTGTGGTTCAACAATTAACTTCCAAGACTTGTTTAATTATTGCTGCACTCAGGTGTCAAAGTGTGGGAGTTTGTTTTAGTGTTGACCTCAATGTACTCAAAACTAAATAATTCTTTGTTTAAGAATCATAACTGCTATATAATTAACAAATAAACTAATTACCAAATGAATTTGAAGTGTATCTAAAGAAATCTGTTAAATTTGACTGAAGTAAAACAAGATTTAGAGACTGCAGTAGTTTCTTTTGTGAGACAAATGGGTGGGGGGAAGAAAAGAGAAAAATTAGACACAACCCACCCCGTTTGCTTGGGTTTCCATAGGTTGCCGCTGTAAGTGCCTTTGCCCAGACTCTGCGAAGATACACATCGCTCAATCACCTGGCCCAGGCAGCCCGCGCCGTGCTTCAGAACACTTCCCAGATCAACCAGATGCTCAGTGACCTCAACCGCGTTGACTTTGCCAATGTCCAGGTACTGCCTCCTTGCAAATCCTGTCTTTTAAAGAATGGTGTCAGTTACTCTAACCTAAGACCATCTGATTATGCACTGACAGAATCGGTGTTCACAGTCTCCTCAAGGATGGGTGTTATAGACAGAGCTTCACTGACCCCTCTGTTTTGTGAGGAAAGACAGCTGAGGTTTATGAACTAGTAGGCAATAGAATACATCCAGGTTTGCCAAGGATAATCAAGATCGGAGTCACTGAAGTCAGGCAAAAAATTAGACTGGTCTATGTGTGAGAATTTGAAAAACTATTTAACAGCTCTCCTTTCGTTTTCCCAGCTATAACAACTACATTAGGTTGTTTAAATAATGATTTGTACCCTTGCAAGCAGGCACTTACTTCTGTTATTTGTTATAGGAACCCGCCTTGAAGAACTAAGAACCTCTATTTCGAAGTGTATTGCAGATACCTGAGAAAATTCTCTCTCTTAAAGAATTAACTGCAGTAAGACTGGACGCTTTGGTTCACATTTTTTTTTTTTAATTTTTTTCTAACCCTCATTCTGTACCATACACTTGGAAATAACTAATGTAGGTTCTTTATGGAAGTATAAGAAATATATTATTTATGATACTAAAATAACAAATCTAATTGTTACTATATAAAAGTGATAACACTCCTGACCTAAAGTGTAAGCAACAAAGTAAAAAATGCATATCTAAACACAATCCAAATTTAAAACTTGTGAAACTAACGAGAGACTACATAAAGAAAATAAAAAAGGCAATGCAAAGAATGTTAGAAGTTTGTAAATACCCTATACATAGAGTATATAAAGAACTACTCTGCAACCCATTAATTAAAAAGATCTGATTTTAAAATAAAATAAACAAAATTATCAGCATTGACCACCAGGGGAGTAGGAATCAAAACCATGAGGCAGTAACATTTTGTGCACACCAAAATGGATGTGGTTGAAGATAGAAAATATCAGTTTTGGTTCCTGGAGTACTGGAGAAATTAGCAGTTCATGAGTGGTTGCTGAGAATATAAAGTGCTACAACCACTGAGACATTCTGGCATTTCTTCAAAAAGATAAATATATACTCACCATATGACTGAGCAGTCCATGGCTTGGCAGATAGCTAGGAGAAAGGGAAACATGGCCACACAAGCTTACCAATCCTTGTCTAAAATACTTGGACTGGATTGTTTGGCTCTTTTTGAGATTTTATATTATTTAATAGACTTTACCACATGATTATCCTGAAGTCTGTACTCCGATATGCTCCAAATCACAAAAGTTTTAAGCATTGAACACTCTTAAGTGTGTTTCAAATTTTGGATCTTCAGATTAGAGATCCTCAATCTGCATTTCAGTGTTCAAGCATCATTGTTCCAATTAGACAACCCAGGTGTTCATTACCTGATAAACATGTGCTTTTTCCATAAAGGACCATCCCTGGGCAAGGAAAGAGCTTCTGAAGGCTTGATTGAGCCTTGGAAACATGTTATATGAAGGAGAGATGTTATATGCTTCAATTTATACGAAATGACCTGAACAGACCTTAGAAGTAGAAAATAGGTTTCTCGATGGATAGGGCTGGGGTATTACATGGAATGGGAGATTATGAATACAGTGGATATGGGACTTCCTTTTGAGGAAAAGTATACTTTACGTAGGTAAATTGTGCAGTTATTTCTTCAAGATCAAAATCTATACACCTAAAGAAGATAAACAAGAAAGAGAACCCAGAGTACGATGACAAATCCTCACTTAGAAAGGGGATGGACATTGGATGTAGGAGCAAACAAGTAACAGGACAGGAGCCTACCACAGAGGGCCTCTGAAAGACTCTACCTAGCAGTGTATCAAAGCAGATATTAAGACTCATAACTAAACCTTCAGCAGATTACAGGAAATCATAAAAGGGGGGGGGTTAATATGACCTGGAGAGGACAGGAGCTCCACAAGGACCAAATATATCTGGGCACAGGGGTCTTTTATGAGACTGTTTCTCCAAATAAGGACCATGTGTGGATACAACCTAGAACATCTGCTCAGATGTAGCCCTTGGTAGCTCAGTATCCAAGTGGGTCCCCTAATAAGGGGAACAGGGACTGTTTCTGACATGATGAACTCAATGGTGGGCTCTTTGACCTCCTCCCCACACCCCCGTGGGAGGAGCAGCCCTGCTAGGCCACAGAGGAGGACTTTGCAGCCATTCCTGAAGACACCTGATAAACCAGTATCAGATGGAAGGGGAGGAGATTCTCCCCTATCAGTGGACTTGGAAAGGGGCAGGGAGGAGATGAGGGTGGGAGGGTGAGAGTGGGAGGGAAAGAGGGAGTGGGATACAGCAGGGATACAAAGTAAATAAACTGTAACTAATATTAAAAAAAAAAACAAAAAGGAAAAAAAAAGAAATTTAATCTCTACATCATGCCTAGCTTTGTTATTTAAAATATGTTACATAGTGTTATTTGAGCATGATTCATTTATAGTACAATAAATTTGTTGTGTTCATTGTGAGTTTCATGAGTTAGGCTCATATTTCTGATATCTAATTTTTCAGTCTCTTTTCCATGTATCTTTTCCTCTGCCTACCAACTATCTGTATACAAACATACAATATGTTTGTATATTCATTAGTATATACAAAAATACAGGCATACTTTCATGTACACCATGCAGTCATATAACCTTTACAAGGACAGGCTTAGATTTATAAAATGGTCCATGTATGTGAGTAGACTTACATTAACTTTTTTATGAAAAATATTAAGCAATTACATCATCTTAAAGTCTGCACTCTAATATTTACTTCAAATCTATATTTTAAAATTGTTTTAAAAGTATCATAAGAAAAGTTGAGGTATTACAGTGGAACACACCTGTAATCCTAACATTCTGGGAGGCAGAAGCAGGTATATCTCTATGAGTTTGAGGCTAGCCCGGTATACAAAGTGAGTTTGTGACAGCCAAGGCTACCACTTAGTAACAGAAATTTTTGTAAAGAATGTTTTATTTAAATTAACATCTGAAAAAGGTGTTAACTGTTCCTGTTTTAACATTTGTGTGTCCTCAATCTTGTCTTCATTATTTTTGTATTAAATTGAATGTGTATACAAATGAGCCCACCGACTACTCAGAAACATCTCTCTTGAGGGCATTCTTGTATGTAAATAGTCAACTATCTGTCTATTACTCATCCTTACAGAGCCACTTTGAGACTGCTCTCTGTCTTCTTCTTTGTAAACTGTCAAGTTTTTCTGTGTCCATCATGGTGGTCATTAGTACTGGAAACTGTGTAATTAATTAAGCACCTGTCCTCCAAAATACCTCTCCTCTAGTCAGAGGCTCACAACCTGGTGGCGAGCCATTCTACGCAGGCACACTTTGCTTTGCACATTCTAATGAGTACCCAGACTGCCATGGTTCCTTTGCTCCTTCCCATGTCTTTATTTCTTCCAAACATTGGCAGGCTTCTCTGGTGTAGCCTGATTCCCGTTCCTTCTTCATGACCTTTTCCGGTCATTTGGAACCTGTCCCTGCCTCTTCTAAGATGAGTCTCAGTAAGACTGACAAAGAAAAGGCTGAAATTCTTACCATACGGAAACTTTTGTTTGAAATGACTTCTTCTCTCTGTTAATATTAGAAATGCCAAGAGTTTGGACACTCCTGTCAGGATAACCACAAGCCTCCGTTCACTACTTCATCGTCTTCTCGACAAATACTTTTGCATTCCAAGACAATGTTTCCAGTTTTCTAAAGGTTCTGTGTAAATTGATAAGTTTGTATACAAATTATGAATTATGTTTGGATGATCTAACCTGATAACCCAATCATTGAACACTTGAGTTTCTTCATTGAAGATACAGTGTGAGTTTGAACTTCCTCACTATGTACCATATTGGATATTGTTTCGCATAAATTACGTGCATCTTCAGATGTTTTCAGCTTGTTCTAGTTAACACTGAGGAAACTAAATTCTGATAAAAAAGACTATTTACTGAGTAAGCTATTGTTAGTGTAAAATTTATAGGCTGTAATAAAATGAAATACATTGTAAAGGTTTGAAAAGTGGTTTATTGAGCTTTAGTCTTATTTCTCCAGCTAGATTTTAGACTATCATTTAATCTTTCTATCCAAAAATAATTTTTATATAAATAATGAGTTTGAATTTTGATAAGAAGTGAAATTCTTTCATGTGTGTCAGTAAGATCCTCTTACTAGAGCCAGCACAGACATGAAATAAACTCCTTCATATGGAGCACAGAATCTTCCATTTGCAACAAAAAAGGTTCTAGAGGTCAGTTGCCCATATATTCCACATATTTAGCAGTGCTGTATTGTATACAGAGAAAGGGTCAAATGTATTAAAAAAGAAAAAAGCTTACATGTCAGTGAGTGTGAGAACCTCTCTTCTGGTAACTATTGTTATACCTAAACTTCTCTGGGTACTCAGAAATTCTTAAGTTGACAAAAAACTTCTGGCAGCTTTTTTTACACTATTAAAAGATCTTAACTTTTGTTATATAAGTCTATTATACATCAAGAAATGAAGAAGCAGAAAGACATACGTGGTACATACTCACTTATAGGTGGATATTAGACATATAATATAGGATAATCACACCAAAATCTGTACAACTAAAGAAACTAGGCAAGAAGAAGGACCCTGGGTAAGATGATCAGTCCTTATTCAGAAAGGCAAATAGGACAGACATCAGAAGAGAGAGAAAACAGGGAACACCACAGAGGGCCTCTGAAAGATTGTACCCAGCAGGGTATCAAAGCAGATGCTGAGACTCATAACCAAATTTTGGGCAGAGTGCAGGGGATCTTATGAAAGAAGTGGGAGATAAAAATACCTGGAGGGGACAGGAGTTCCACAAGGAGAGTAACAGGACCAAAAAAATCTGGCCACAGGAGTCTTATCTGAGACTGATACTCCAACAAAGGACCATGCATGGAGATAACCTAGAAACCCCTGCACAGATGTAGCCCATGGCAGCTCAGTCTCCAAGTGGGTTCCCTAGTAAGGGGAACAAGGGCTGTCTCTGACATGAATTCAGTGGCTGGCTCTTTGCTGACCTCCCCCTGAGGGGGAAGCAGCCTTACCAGGCCATGGAGGAAGACAGTGCAGCCAATCCTGATGAGACCTGATAGGCTAGGGTCAGATGGAAAGGGAGGAGGACCTCCGCTATCAGTGGACTTGGGAAGGAGAGGAGATGAGGGAATGAGGGTGGGATTAGGAGCTGGTGAGGGAGGGGGATAGAACTGAGATATAAAATGAATAAACTGTAATTAATAAAAAGTAAATAAATTTAAAATCTGTATATATAATAGGAAAATGTAGTTAACAACATAGCTAATTCAAACTTCTTTTTTTTCTTTTTCTTTTTTTTTCATTTTATTTTTCTCATTAGTTACATTTTGTTTAATTCAAACTTCATACTAGTAAAAATTTAGAAAAAACAAATGTCTAGCCACATGGAATTGGTTATATAATGGAATATATATGGTTATATGTAAATGGTTATGTAATACAATGAAACAAATTTATTAGTAAGCAATAAATACAGATCTGTGTTTATCTACCTGGGATGATAGTCATCATTATTAAGCAGAATATTGAGTAGAATGTATGATATTTTTTATATTTATATACTTGTTTTAAATTTATATTAAAATTATGCATGTGTAAGCATAAATGACAAAATATAAATAAACATGAGTAATATAAATGTAGACATAAAAATAGAGCACATACAATATTTTATATTTGAAGCATATCCATGTATTGCAGCTATGTTGGACGACTCCCCTCATATTTTGTTGGGTTTTTTTTTTCTTTTTTATATTTATTTTTTTTGTGATCACATTTTAGTGTATTTTAACTATTTACAAGTAGTATTTAAGAAGTAACCTAAAACCAAAGAAGGATAGAAGTTGTTACCATTAGCAGAAATGTGGAAATTGTAGCTTTTCCTAGCGCAATAGAATGAATGATTTAGACACAATTTGCCTCTAAAAAAATCTAAGGTTAAATAACCGTTGAGTGGGTAAAGTGTGCAGGATTGGCAGAGATACTGAAACTGAAAGGCTGGGATTAGAGATATATTGATTGATATATTTATTGAAATAATAAATTTGAATCAACTTCACCTCTGATATTATATAGAAAATACACTACAGATACTGTTTAAATGAAATATCAATGTAGTCTATGTTATATTTTGGAATTTTACAGGACACTCCATAGAAACTCATCCTTAAAATGATCATAATGAATCCCACTTAAGAATTCTGACTAATTCTCATTTGTCTGATTTTGAGAACAGGAAACTAGGCCCATACTGATCTAATAAATTGCTTGAACTTAGTTTGGCAAGTTAGGGCCTAAGCAAAAATATTTGCCTTTTGATTATCTGTCAAACAGTATTTTGTGAGATAATCCCATTTTAAAAAAAAAAAAAAAAAAAAAAAAAAAGCTGTTTTTTTTTTTTTCTTTTATGTGCATTGGTGTTTTTCGTCCATGTAAAGATGTTGGCTCCTTAGAAACTGGAGTTATAGACAGTTGTGAGCTGCCATGCCGGTGCTGGGAATTGAACCTGGGCCCTCTAGAACAACAGTCAGTGCTCTTAACTGCTTGAGCCATTTGTGCAGCCCCGATAATCCCATTTTGATCCTAAGAAAACAAATTTTTCTTTTAATATTAAAATACAGAATAATCACAAAACTTACACAATCAATGAAATATAACTTTAAAAGTTCCTATTTTCATTGTTGTTACAAAACATGAAACTTCCCAACCAGAAGCAGAAGGGAAATTATAGTAATCAGGTTTCTTGGCAGGTAGCATGTCTACATTTTCTCCAAAGAGATTTTGTTGTTGTTGTTGTTTTCAGTTCTGTGAATTAATTTGCATTTGTTGGTTTGCATTGATAGCCCTTGAGATTTCTGTTCCCAATCTATAAACTCACACAGCATATGCTTCTACCTAGTACCATTCAGTGTTTGTTTTCTTTTAATCTTTAGGGACCACTTTTGGCCAATTGAATCCATTTGTTCTTCTGACTTACTCTAAATCTTCTAAAATGCTTCTAAAATTCTATCTCATGGGATGGGGAGGACTTTGAAGCAGTGAGAAAACAGGACGCTGCATGCTGCTGGTGCAGACACCTTTCCTTAAGTAACCCTTCTAGTCTCTCACAAGGCCCAGCCAGAGCAGAACACCAAATCAGTAAACAGTGCTTCACTGATGGTCGGGGAGAAATGCTGTGCCCTGAAGATGATCCAGGCATTGAGTGTTCAACGGCTGTTCATGATTCATTCACTTCCCCTTGGAAGTTCTCCCTGTAACCCGCTGCATGTCTTCTGTGATGACACTCAGTGAGAAGCTGCTGAGCTGAACTTTCCCTTCTATCTCTGACCTATTCCAGGAGCAGGCTTCCTGGGTGTGCCAGTGTGATGACAACATGGTTCAGAGACTAGAGACTGACTTCAAGATGACCCTTCAGCAGCAGAGCACTCTGGAGCAGTGGGCAGCGTGGCTGGACAACGTGATGATGCAAGCGCTGAAGCCCTATGAAGGAAGACCCAGCTTCCCTAAAGCTGCCAGGCAGTTTCTGCTCAAATGGTCTTTCTACAGGTAGATGACCACAATTGCACTACATTTCCTTCATGTTATGCAAATATGTGCATGCCATTTATTTAAAAAAGAAGCGAGCTTAGACTTGATGGGACACCCAACCCTACCACCATGATGCATAGAAACAAAGCAAGAAATATGGAAATGAACTTTTTTGTTTGTTTGTTTGTTTGTTTTGCAGGAGAAGGAGAACTTCTTGCTCAAAGCCAAGTTTTCAGATAGTAATCGCTGAGATTTCATATAGATTAGCAGTCATGACCCCATTGAGGTTCAAGTGACCCTTTTACAGGGGTCACCTAAGACCATTGGAAAAACACAGATATTCTGTTTTAATAACAGATATACTGTTATGAACATTACAGTTCATAACAGGAGCACAATGAAGTAGTAACAAAATAAGTTTTTGGTTGGGGGTTCACCACAACATGAGGAGCTGTATTAAAGGGTCACAGCATTAGGAAGGTTGAAAACCAGTGGCCTAGATGATGTTTTCAGCAACAGGCAGAAAAGTTCTCTAGTCCTTCCTCTGCTCCTGCCTTATTGAGATGCCTTCCTGTGGGGTTATGACTACTTTTCTTTTGTTCCCTTTTCAGTGTCTGTCCAGCTGTGTCATTAGACCATGGCATCACATCCCCATTGTTAGGGTACTCCCCAAGTCTATTTGAGTCAAAATCCATAGAGGAAAGGCCTAGCAATCTGAGCTTTGAAATCCTCTTGGTAATTCTAGTTCATACTCAGAGCTACCTAGTTAATGTCTTAATTCTGTCAATTACATCTGTTTTCAACCCTGGATAAATATCAGAGAGTAGAATATACAAGTTCTTTTTAACCCTTGGTTGCTTCTGAGACTTGCTGACTTATTCCTTCAGTGGTTAGGAGGTAGGTGTTAAGAGGACAATTGAGGTCAGTCATTTTCTGGTGATTATGATTCATGGCTAGTATATACTTGATAGTGACATGTCTTACGGATAATAAGCCTGTTAGACTAACATTCTTCATATAGAAATACATGTTTGTGTAGACAGAGAAGCACCCCTAAAGCCACCCCTAAAGGGAAGGGGCTAACTGATTATATAATACGTGACAGCGAATTTGGAATGAGCTGTTGGCTCCAAGTCTACTACAGGGCTTGAAGGAGTATGTATGAGCTGTATTGGTCAGGACTTGTGCCATATTTGTGTGGGATGGAATGGTCAGATGGATTCCTGCATGAAATCTATGTTAGGGACATTTATACCTCTCAGTCCATATGGGTTTTAGGCCCAAATCAGTGGGAATCACCCCGAATAAAGAAGCAAATACTTGTATTTTTAATACAGGATCAAATTTAAATTATCTAACTTGACTCATGAAATAGGAATCCATCTGTCATATAGTTCAAAGCTCCAATTTGGAAATACTTCGTTGTTGGTGGTTGTGGTGGTGGTTGGTTGGTTGATTGGTTTTTGTGTTGTTTTGTCTTGTTTTGCTTTGTTTGAGACTAGGGTCCCACTCTATAGCCCCAGCTGTCCTAGAACTCACTATTTAGACCACGCTGATGATGGACTCATAGATATCAACTTTGCTCTGCCTCCAGAGTGCTGGGATTAAAGGCATGTGCCAATATGCCTGGGTGAAATATATTTTTTTGATTGCCTAAGAGTCAATATTTTATTGATCTGAATTTTCCCAGAAAATTATATAAGGGATATGTGTTCCATGACTAGTGGATGAACACTGTCTGACTCTTCCCAAATCTCACATGCACCAAGAGCAGAGTGTCTACCCCATACCACAAGGAAAGAGAGTTGCTCTTCCCTCCTTTCCTGTTGTGTTCTGCGTTAGTGGCAAGCTTGCCCTTATTCCTCCATATGTTTTTTTTTTTCTTTGCATTTAGTTGACATCATTTTAGAAGTACACCCCTGGAGCCTTTGTCACCACAGAGATCTATTGAAGGAATCCTGAAAAGGAAGAAAATTACTCACTTGTGTTTCATGTTCTCTGCAGATACACAAAACCAGTAGATCATCACTTCCCTGTCCTCTGTCCTCCCTGAGTTGGGGATAATTGGCTTGTTATTACTAGACATTATTATGGTTATTATTTTCATTTCAAAAGGATTTGAAGGCTTACAGTTCAGGGCCATAGAGGAAAGAGACGTTCAAGCAGATGCATACCTCCTGCTGATAGGCAGAGTAGTATCTGAGCTGTGTTTTACTGAAGCATAGGAACATGTTGAGTAATGAAAGCCAGAGAAGTAAATCACCAGAGAAGTAGAATTGGAGAGGTTTTTTTCATGTTTTTATCATTGTAAATTTGCAAAGGATATTATAAGTTTGAAAGCCACATATGCAGTCCTTTCATGTGTAGAAATGAGATATTTAATCTAGTAATTTCTAAAATTGTATTTGCATTTACCTACACAGACACATAGAAACAAATTGGCAAGAAATCCTCTCACAGCAGTTGATCCATTGTTGCAGACATACTCTGCTCAGTCAAGGGCTGTCTACTTACTGAAACTACCTTTGAATGGCTAATGTTGACTTTGGAAAATCCAGAAATGCAAAAGTTATGTGGACTATTTCTTTTCTTCTGTGCTTTGTGAATAACACAAGAGAACATTCCTAATAATTATAGTGAAGGTCATTCATTCCTAGTATGCAGGGGCAGGGGATTGCTGCAATCCAAAGTAACTTTGCTCATTGTCTACATTTCTGGAATTAGAATTACACAGGTCAGTGGGTTGACATTTTGACAAATATTGTCACGTTCCTTCTACAGAAGCCTCAGGAACACTTGTGGAGACAGTACAGTTGTCTTTTTTTCTCGGCCCCTCTCCAGACTATAGTGCAGTGGATAACAGGTGTTCTCTTTAACTTGTATGTGTTTGCTTTTGAATAAGATTAGTCTTATATTTGTATTTTTTTTTACCACTTGTCATCCCTGGACTGTATTTTAAATATCTACTGTCTTTGTTCAGCAAGATGCATAGAGTTATAAGTGAATACTAGACTCTTGAATTACTTTTAAGAATACTGACTTTGAGTTCAATGTTATTTGATATTTAATCATTATGTTACATTATTTTTCTTTTTGTGTATAGAAAATTCTCTGCTTTAATTTTTGCCATAGAAAAATATTTACTTTAATTTTTTTCTATATTATATTCATGTAAATTATTTGACAAGTAGATGATAATGTATCATTGAGTTTTAGGGATTTGGCACATAAATGAAGCTGTTCTTCCATTTGTAATAATACATTCATACATTAGTTGTAAACATTTAAGGAGTGTTAAAGGTATTTCGTTTAAACACAGAAACCATTATTGTAATAAATATACCATTAACTCTAGTATACCCAGTACTGAGTAATGACCAGTTTTATTAAAATCCCACATATGCTAAGTGCCCTGACCTGCCCACTAAGTGCCTGGAGGCCTTAGTGGGAATGATGGCAGGTTAAGAAAAGACAGGCACAAGTATTGAAATGTGTAATTAGGTGGAGTTCTCACTCACATGAAGACACACTGATAGCCCAGATACGCAGCATATTTATTATAAAAATTCTGAAGGAGGAAAGAGGTCTCTGTAGGGGAGTAGTCTCAGGACAGCATGGACATGAAGTTATCTGATGAGGAAGCTGTGGTTAGTACTCTTTGCACATTACTGTTTTTAGTTAAAGGTCAATAGTTAGCTAATATTTGTACTCAGACTAGAGAAAAGCCTTGTCATTCCCCCAAGCCTGACCCAGTAAGGCCCCGCCATTACCCCAAGTCCCAGACAAGGAAGTCCTTGTCTTCACCCTTAGCCTGACCCGGGAAGGCCCTGCCATTCCCCTGAGCCTGAGACATTAGCATCCTTGACAGGGCCATGCTCATGTAATGAATGCTTATTCATACAGGAGTACACTTATCCATATTATCCATAAGGGAAATATTTCAGCATCTCAGTAGATGCCTGAATATTACTCAGCCTAAGGTATAACTGCTTGTACATTGTGATGTTAAGCACTTATCACAAGTTGTGGCAGTCTGAAGTATGACAGCAAAGACAGCACATATATATTTCCCTTTGTCTCAGTTGCACAGATAGAAAATTCATTCTTACCATCATTCTTATCTCAGCATTCAATATTTTTTTTCTCTAAAGTCAACAACCTTCACTTTCTTATTTTAAGTAGCCATTTTACAGAACTTGGTCTACTAATTTGTCAATATTACTGCTCTTGTATTCTGGACCATTATACATCTTGGACTTGTTGGGCAAAAAGGATGACCTGTATCCCAGGTGACAGAAGCCCGAGAGCAGATTTCATCAGTCTATGCAGAAGAACATGTGGTCTGAAATTTGTTGATTATTCCTGGAATTTTCATTTCATATTTGCAGTGGCCAAAACCAAGAAAATAAAACCCATAGATAAAGGGAACTGCTATGTGTTGCTTCATTTGCCTCTCAGACCAGCTCCTAAGCCTTAAAGATGGTTATGTGGTTTTAAGCAAGATTACAAAGGCTACCTGTAACCACACATAGATGGGAAGCTGGGGTAGAAAGATTGCTGAAGATACCAGTCTCTAAGCTACATAATGAAACCTGGGCCAGCCTAGACTACAGAGTGAGGACCTGGTTTGTTTGTTTGTGTGTTTGTTTGTGGAATTCTATATATGGGTCTAGCTAAGCTTGTATAGCTTTACCTTTTCTTCTGTTAATATAATTATTAAAAAGATAAATGGGAAGTTTTCTGCCCATCATATGATTTTCATTCTTTCATAAACAAATTATAAATAGCCTTTTCTGTTCTGTTACAATAATAATAAATTATAGTTGTTGTGTTCTATTTATTCATAAACTGTTTTCATATTCTTTAGTTAATTTTATTCTTGAAGTGGTTATGTACATTAGCTTAAGACAAAATACTGCTTTCACTTTCCCTAGAGAAAAGAACCTCTGGGAAATTGCTTCTTTGAGGTTAAGAGTCAAGTAGCAAAGAACCAGCATCAGAACCCCGAGCTTCTGTCTTCAAATGTCAGCTCATGATATGTCACTTCCCAAAATGGATGTAAGGAATCTGATGTATTTAAATCTCTGTTTTTAAAAAGTTGAAAATGAAGCAGAAGGCAAAAGTAAAGCCTACTTACTATTCTTTCATTTGTCTGGAATTTTATAATTGGTCATTATAAAATAAGGCTTTCATTTGTGACATTTTACCTCTTCCTCCTGAGAGTATAATGACAGTTTTAGTATTTATAGGCAAGAACTCTTTTAAAAAAAGGCAACTGAGTAAAAGCTCGTAAAAACACACATGCATAAACACATACATTATGCTCACCATGAGTCACAGATATCGCAGTCATATTCGAAGTTAAATAAATAAATGAATAAATAAATAAATAAATAAAAACCAAGCTCATTAGTTGATAAATCATTAGTAAAGCCACAATTTTATTTGGATTTATTTTTATTTTTAAAGTCATAGAGTTATTGTTAGTATTCTAGCAATATGGCTCACATTTATATAATGTATACACTAAATGTTCATGTTTTTCAGATTAAATTATTTCTGAATCCATCTATACTTCTTGTCTCTAATAGGGGAAAAACACCTTAATTTATATGAAAATCACCAGGAAACTAGAATCAACATTCACCACATACTCACCTCAATTTAGACTTCAGGGAGCATTGCTTGGTATTTTTGTATGAAATCTAGCACAAAGTGCGCTCTACAGATCGTTGTCAGTTAGTGATGACAAAACGTCAGTCATCATCAATATAATCTTCACTTTGAGTTGATTTTTCTTATACTGGGGATGAGTTTTCGGTCTTTCCAAATTGTCTCTGATCCAAATTGTCTCTTGTGAGCACAATGGAAGGAGCAAACATGCCGATAACAATTAAAGGTCTGGGTTTTTTTGTTGTTGTTGTTGTTTGTTTGTTTATTTATCTGGCTCTACTGAAGATCACGGTCAAGCCTTGGTGAGGAGGACCGCTTTCCCACATTGCATCAAGTTGGGCCTACTGCTTTCAAAAATGAAATTGTTCTAGCCCCAGTTCTATACTATAAATGTTGCCTATACTTTCTTTTGGTCTCCCAAATTAACTGCTGTTAAAAGGACTGAGATTCTGAACCATGACCCTTACCGCTAATTGTGGCTCCATCCCCGCCCTCTCTCGTGAACAGCTCAATGGTTATCCGGGACTTAACCTTGCGCAGTGCTGCTAGCTTTGGCTCCTTTCACCTGATCCGGCTGCTGTATGACGAGTACATGTTCTACCTCGTAGAGCACCGTGTTGCTCAGGCGACGGGGGAGACACCGATAGCAGTGATGGGCGAGGTAAGAGGGTTTCAAGAGCTAACATCTACTGTTTGGTTTCTGGTTACACTTGTAAATGACTACAAGGGGACTGATGGTGTGTGTTTTTAATCACAGAATGTTTAAGTTGAAGATACTATCCTGTCAGTGGAATGTTTTGCTTCATTATATATATCCACATTAAAAACAAAACAAAATAGAACAGCAACAACAACAAAAAAAAACTTTAGAGAAACAGAAGACTCTAAAAAGAAAAAAATTATTGAGTAGGAGATGAGAAAGACCAATGCCTATGATAAAGCTAAGAACCCCTCCCCCCCTAAAAAATGTGTTAAGTATGTAGTTTGTGGGCTCTTTCCCAGCCTTCAAGAAGGAAGTGGGTAATTTTGCCTCAGAGTGCAGACGATGATGGCAGTGCTCACTGACACTTTTTACTGTGCTGCAAGCATGTCTCTACATCCTTGTGTATAACAGAACACTTACCAATTCACTGCAACCCTTTGAAATTAATTTCTACCTTTTCATGCTTTATCAGTTTACTTTGGGTCAGTGAGAAACTTTGCCTCAAAAAATTAAGGTAGACAATGTTAGTGGAAAACATCATATGTTGATCTAGCCTACCAACACCCAGGAAGCAGACACACAGAGAGGAGGCAAGGGGAGTTGTTGAAGCTAAATACTGCTGAATTACTGTTTAATAAACAAAACAATAAAGTATAAATAAAGTAATCAAAATACTTTAAGCACCTCTGTAAATTCAACTATAAACTACAAGTATTCTACTATAAGTAAAATATATTTCAAACAATCCTTAAAATTTTCGTAAGTGTATGAGTACTTTGCCTGTGTGTATGTCTATGTACCATGTACATGCCTAGTGCCTAAGGAAGCCGAAAGAGGCTGTCAGATCCCCTGAGACTAGAGTTGTAGACCATTGTGAATGGCCATGTGTGTGCTCAAGTGGAACCCAGGTCCTCTAGAAGACCAGCCCTTGCACTTAATGGCTGAGGTATCTCTTCAGCCCTGAATGTTAAATGCTTCTGACATCATTTTTAATATTCATCTATTCCAATTAAAAGGCATCGTTTGCAGTTTGATGATATATACATCTTTGTGTAATTGTGTTTAAATGATACTGAATGGATAATGTGTAAGATGAAGCAAGAACTGCTGTAGCTTTTAAATAATAGGCCAAACAATCTGGATCTTTCTTAAATTTGACCTTCTTTATTTTAGCTGTATACATGTCTCTTTACAAGATTCCCAGTTGGAATGAAAGATTTCTCACATCAGGGCTCAAGACTTCTGAATTTATCTTTTAGTGCACTTAACACTTTGCCCCACACCTCTGTGCTCTGGATCTTTACCAGAATGAACAGGATAATGTCACCGTGTGGCTTATCCTTCATGGCCTTTGCTTCCATTGCATGACTAAAGAACAAAGGCATGAGCCCATTACACTGTCAAGGCTTAGCCACCTCCTCCCATGAGTCTGCAGCCAGTAGTAGTACTGCAAGATTGAAGTGAGACACACTGTCAACAGGGCCACATAATCATTGTAATAGACACTCTTAACTGCGTGAATAGGCTGCAAATGAGTAAGAAATCACAGCATAATGCAAAGATATATTGATACATTTTAAGTAAAGTAATAAGACATAAATTCGCTTCTGTAAAACCAGAGCTCTGAAGGTAACCCTAGTCTGTTTGCTTGCTTTGTACCCTAACCCAGTGTGTAAGGTAATCCTTTTCACAATCCACATGAGTGCACCATTCAGTCCACGAAGCGAACCAAGGCTAATTTTCTCTGCTGAATCTCCCCCTAGCACTATACTTCAGAAGACTTTCAAGCTAGCATAGACTTTCGGCTTTAATCCTACTATCTGATCTAAAATAATTTTATATCTGTGGAAAGGAGGTGGATCGTCAAGAAACAGCTACCACCACCCACCACCCACTGCTCCCACCCCACACCCCCACACACTCTACACCTCATGTTCTCCTCCTGTGTTACCCTAAACTTACTCTCACTTTGCCCTTTGTAATTTCCCTTCCCAAACACCTGCTGGACGTGCTGGATTATGCATGCCTATAGGCCCAGCACTTGGTAAGTAGAGGCAGAAAGAACAGAGGATCAAGGCCAGCCTGATCTGGATAACGAATTCAAGGCTAGCCTCTGCTGCATTATTGAGATGCTGTCTCAATACATAGCTGTCTCTCTCTTTCTCTCTATCCCTCTTTCCCTCCCTCTCTCTCCCTCTCTCTATCTCTCTCTTTCTCTGTGTGTGTGTATGTGTATGTGGGTATGTAGAGGGGTGGAAGAGGTGAACTACCCTTGTTCAAACACCAGATTCACAAGTGCCTTCACAAAGGGTGGGGACACCGTGTCAGACCAGAGTATATTGAGATTCATAAAATTCACCATTTCCCACAACTATAAGCAACCACTTTTTAATCATCATTAATAATGTCATCATAAAATCAGTAATTGTTAACATTGAGAGCTTATTATATGCTTAGTTGAATTATGCCCCTGAAATTCCTTCTTTTATTTCTGTTTTGGTAGAGGTCATCATGATCCTATCCAAGCATTATCTTGGATCATCTTTCTGTCTTGACCCAACTGTAAGCACTGACTAAGCCTTCCGGATCTCAAACCTCTCGTAGTGTAGTCAATATTGTCTTACGCAGAAGCAGAGCAGATTGTGTTATCCCCTACCTAAAACTCCTCACTAGTTTATTCTTCTATTAATTAGGGGAAGAAAATTCTCACCTTGTGCAAGGAGCATTTAAAACCTGACTTGGCTCCCCATTGGCCTCAACCCCTCACTTTTCCTCCTCCTCTTACAGCCATGTCAGCCTTTTGTGCCTTTTCGACTACCACATCTACCTCATCATTAGACCACTGCATAAGTGGAGCTTTCTCCCTGGGGCCCTCACTTCACCTTTCCTTGCCCATTCTGATTCCTACTTCATGGTTTAAATATCAGTTCCTCAGTGAGGCCCAGTTCCCATGGACTATACTACATGATCTGATTCTCTTAAATCTGGACTTCTACTTTTTGTTTTAAAGCTTAACCAGTAGTAATTGCATGGTTTTCTGTATGATTAATATATGTGAAGATTTGATGCCTGAAGATAACACAGAAATTTCAAGTCAAAAGAAAGGAATTTGGGACAATCCATGTTTTTCTGTGTTGAAAACCAGACATTTGTCTCTAAAATTAGCTGATTCGTTTACTTAACAACTCTGTTAAGATTTGGATATGACTGTAAACAAAATGGATTTTGACTCTGTCTTCAAGGAACTTGCCTTGCAGTGGCAGACATATTTATTAAGCAGCCTGTAACTACATAGCTATAGATTCTCAGTGCTATAAAGAAAGGCTTCAGAAGATTAGGAGGTGCTTGAAGCAAGGGGCAGTTACTTTTGCCTAGGAAGGCCAAGAAAGGCTCTCCTGAGGAAATAATATTGAGATGAGAAATGAAATACTTGGAGAATTTGGAGGCATGGTGTCAGTTATCAGAGGCCCGATGAAAAGTGAACTGAGATGGGGATCATGGCCAGTGAGTTTTCATGACAGGTTCTGAGGTGCAAGCCACAGAAAGGCCAGGTAGACACTGTCAGACTCCACAGTCGGAAGAACTGTGGCCACACAGAGGCCAAAGATTTCAGGAGGATCCAGTCCCTCCCCAGTCAGTGTGCTGACCACGAAATTGGATACGGAACCATCCAGTGCTTTTCCCAAAGTCACATTGCTAAGAAGGTATGGAATCTGCTTGTAACATCACGCTTTGATGCTATATGCTGCTTTCATCACCTGTCCCTGGCTGGGTAGCTTGGATGGCCATGTGTTTGTCTTTATTATAGATTTCTTGGAGGTGGGTAGGGGTGGGATTCAAATTGCTAACTAGGTCTAAAAATGGGGGGAGCTTTAAAAAAACCTTTTTAAAAAAATGGTTTATCTTTTCACTAATAATAGTTCCGTAAATCTTAAAACTAACATTATTTGAGCAGGTTAGAGATCAACATGTTTTCTATCAAGCACAGTAAACAGACAAAAAAAAATCCATTTTTGAATGAATATTATTGTCACCAATAATATTGTCATTCAGTTGTTTCAGTGAGGATCACCACTGATTAGTGTTCCGGGTAGAAGGCACCCCACAGTCCCTGTAAGTTTCCTTATGACATTCTCCCAAATGTCAGCCTGCTGCTACATTAATAATTCCTATGATGTCATTTGAAGCATTTGTGATTGTAGACATACTCTTCTTTTTCCCTTTGTTCATTTATTTGGTTGGATGGTTTTTGGTTTTACCTACATGATAGAAAACAGAATTTACCTAAGCCAGAATCTGTGTAATTTTCACACGTTTGTGTAAGTATTTTAAGTGTGCCCTGAGGCTTTCTGGCAGTGGTGAGATTCCAAGAGTGGACGTAAGATAGAAAAGTCACACCTGTCGCACACCTGTAAGTGGAAATTTCAGAAACCATAAAGTATTCTCTGCTACTCTTGACAGAGCAAATTGAGCATCAAAATAGCCCTGTATAAGACCATGTGACTATTTAGAATCAAGAAGTCTGTGGAATGTATGTCTTACACCACAAATACAGAGTTTGCTAACATAGTCACTGAATATATACAATTCAGGTTCTTTCATAAAATAGTTCTCCATGACAAGCATTTTATATTACATATTTAAAATTAATTATATTTGACTTCTCTTTAATTATAACTATACTCACATATTATTAGGTCTAAACCATCTCTTTAGCCAACATTTCAAAAGAAAAAAATTGAAATTATGTCCTAGGAATGGTGCCACACACATGTAATATGGTCAAAGAATTGCGAGTTTGAGGCTAACCTGGGTTATGGTAATAAAATCCTGACTCGAAATCTAAAAATAAAAAGAAAATGACTCTTTAATTGTTCAGTTATGAACATATATATAGAAAATAACCTACCTAATAATTGTATCTGGGGAAAATATCTCCCAGATCCATCAAAGTTAAT